AAGTGGTGCAGTCACTTTTACATCTCTCACCAGGTCTTGGACGTTACTTAGGACCAAATCCAGGATCGCCTCTCCCCTGCTGGGTTCTGTGACCATCTGTTCCATAGCACAGTCATTGAGAGTGTCTAGAAACTCAATCTCTTTTTCCCAACTTGAACACATATTGACCCAATCAGTGTGTGGGTAGTTAAAATCACCTATTACGACAGTTATTTCGTCTAGCCGCTATCTTTCATTCATTCATCATTTTATATTCCTCCTCTATCTTTTGATCTGGTGGGCGATAACAAACTCCCAATGTTAAGCTTCCTTTTGGGCCCACTATTTCAACCCATTGCATTTCCAGAAGCGAATCCAATTCTCTTACACTCTCAGTCTTACTGAACTGTATACCCTCTCTGACATACAGAGCCACCCCACCTCCAACCCTTCCCCCCTATCCTTCCGATATAATTTATAACCAGGAATCACCGTATCCCACTGATTTTTCTCATCCCACCATGTTTCTGAAATACCCACAATATCTATCCCCAACATCAAGCATTCCAACTCCCTGATTTTACCTTGGATACTTCTAGCATTTGTATAGAAACATCTATAGTTTCCCATGCATGTTAAACCCATAACCTCCCTCCTGCTGCCGCAAGTCCTTGCCAGGCAGTCCGTATCACTAGCCACAGTCTCAGTGGACAATTCTAATCCATTTCCTTGTAGAAAAGTAACAGCTACCCCATCATCTCTTTGAGATGAGCCATCCTGAACCAGAGACTTTTCATCTCATGTCGGCTTTCCCCCAATATTCATTTTAAAACTGCTCTGCCACCTTTTTGGTTTTAAGCGCCAGCAGCCTGGTTCCTTCTCAGGACAAGTGGAGACCGTCCCTTTTGTACAGCTCCCTCTTGTTCCGAAAAGCATCCCAGTGCCTAACAAGCTTGAACCCTTCCCCCCTACACCATCGTCTCATCCATGCATTGAGACTCTTGATCTGTGCCTGTCTCTCTGACCCTGCACATGGAACAGGTAGCACTTCTGAGAAGGCTACCTTGGAGGTCCTGGCCTTGAGTTTCCTGCCTAGCAGCTTAAATTTTTCCTCCAGGATCTCACGACTGCCTTTCCCCACATCGTTGGTGCCAACATGTACCACGATCACTGGCTCCTCCCCAGCACTATCTACCAGACTATCTAGAACACATGTAATGTCCGCTACCTTCGCACCAGGCAGGCAAGTCACCTTACGGTCAGTACGCGGGTTTGCCAACCAGCTGTCTACCTGCCTCAGGATCAAATCACCATCTACCAAGAGCCCCCCTCCCTCCCTGCCAAGGGATGGTTCCTTGGTGCGAAAGGATACCCGTTCACCAGCTGAAGAAGAGGTCCCTTCTGAGGGCACATTCCCCTTATCCACAGCATGGTGCCCTGTATCCCCTCGACCCTCACGCTCTCTGACAGTGGCGGGGCTGCCATATTCAAAGTGGGACATATCTAACAAGTCCCTGAGAGTCTTCTCCATGCACCTAACTGACTGTCTCTGCTTCTCCAGGTCAGCCACCTTGGCCTCAAGGGAGCAAACTCTGAACCACTCATAGCTTCCCACTGTCCAGATGTCACTACCTGGCTATATGGAGGCAGGCAATGGCAAACTACCTCTGAATGTCTCTTGCCTGTGTACTCAGGAAGTACATATATAGTTCTCCCCTCATACCCAAGAGAAAGAAGCTGATGCAGGCCAGGCCCAAAGGAGCAGGATGGTCTTGTAGCCGACACAAAAATGCCCAGAGATCTTTCCAGCAAGCAAACGTCTCCCAGTTCTATGGCCTGCTTAGCATAGCAGTTTTGCCACCCTTGATCTAAATGCAATTGATCTGTTGAGAAGATAAAATGAATGAAAGTGAATGCTTTGAAATCCATCTTTACTTCACTGTTTTTGAGGTTAAGATTGTTTGCACACCATAAGCAGTAGCTTTAGGAGGTAGAAGATGGCTCTTTTCTGTGCATCCGTGGGGCTCATGGGGGTGGATGTGGTTCTCCCCTCTTCCATTTAATAGTCACTGTAAAACCCCAGCTGCGTCCAGGCATCATTGGGTATTGTGCGGTCATTGTGCTTGGTCACCCATTTGCAACTCAATTTTCCTGTGTGAGCAAGGCAGTCTTTGAAGGTGATTGACTGCTATAAAGCAATGGTGGTAGCGTAACATCCAACCAGTGGATGTAGCCCAGAAAGGTTAGGCTGAGATTCCTTTCTGTGGCCTCAGCCCCAGTCCTGAGTCAGCGTCAGGGAACCCAGAATTAAAGCTACTCTGAACCGAGATGCCTCTTAGGGCATAGCTCAAAGGAATATGGGCCCCGTTCTGGTGGGCACCCAGCCAGGAGGGTTTGTGGGTCTTGCTAGGGCCTGTTGAATCAGCTACTGGCCTTGGAATGTTCTGAGAAGTTATGCCCATCTGGCTTCTGTTACTGTTAAGGAACCAACCTTCGGGGTCTGGAGACCATGGCCACTTTTGATGTTACCACTCAGGAGTTCATCCTCAACACACCAAAGATCTCTGCCATGAAGTGGTGGCCGGGAGACTGTAAGTAACAAAATGTATTAAATATCCCCATTGTTAGAATTTTTCTCTTGATTTGGATGTTTTCCCAGTGCTTGGGAAGTATTCTTTTATATCTAATAGTCAAGTGTGGCCTACTCTGTGGATACTTAAATCTGCAGATTGGGACCATGCTGACATAAACTAGATACTTCTGCAAATTTAGGGGAGCCTCCCAGAAAAATCTGAAAGCTTAAAAAAAATTACATTGAGAAGTTTAAATCCCCCCAAGATAAAGAGCGATTTCTGCACATGTGCAAGAAATGCATCTACCTTCTGTCCAGGTGTCCAGGGGTCGCTCCTGGCCTGGTCCACAGGTGGACTCCAGGACCCATTCTGGGCCTGGTTTGACAACAAGGGGGGGGGCAGGGAGCTGTGTTTGGCCTCAGTGGTCAAGCGGGGAAGATCCCCACCACCATTCTTGTGGGAGCCTTTTTGTTACTTTATAAATGTCAAAGTGAAGTCACTCAGAATTCCTACAGAGCAGTGATGGCCAACATATTGGGGTTGCTGTGTTTAGATTTTCTACTGCATTTCTGAGCTGTTTCCAAGTTCCAGGGCCCTCCTGTGTACGCACACACATGAAGCTGCCTTATACTGAATCAGATACTTGTTCTAACACAGTCAGCATTGTTTGGCCTCACTGGCAGTGGCTCTCCAAGGTCTCCAAATGAGGACTTTGAAGTCACTTACTACCTGACCCTTTCAGTGGAAATACTAGGGATTGAACCTGAAACCTTCTACATGCAGAACAGATGCTGTACCACTGAGCCATGGACCTACCCTTGCCCCCATTTTCTGTCCAATATGTGCCTATTGAAGAACGTTATAGGAGATGTCCTTCCCACCATCACCCCAAATGCAAATTAGAAACTTTGATGGCAGTGGGTTAACTCATAAACAGCCCTTTTGCTCTATGTGGGTTTTGTAGTTTTGGGATTTCTTCAGGTTATGTAGTTGATTTGTGACAGAGGTGAAGAAACCAGTGGATTCCAGTAGCCATTTTCCTTAATTCATGTGAGTCACATTAACTCTCCAAGCCCATTCTAAATCCTTGGGTCTTCTCTTTCTAATTACCAGCTTGAATGACTGTGCCTCCAACTGTGAAGCTCTTGACTGGGGTGCTAAGGTGTGAAAATGCTGATTATATATATTTTTTCTCACC